CCGGTGCGTCATAATGACAGCAACTCGAAGCCGATGAAGTGACAGTGTATACAGCCCTATTTTCTTACCTCGGTTCTCGTATGGCATACCCCTTAAACTGGGGATGAGTCGGGTAGCTCCATGCTGGACCCGTTCCAGTCTCTGCACCTCACATATTGCGATCGAACAATAGGCGGATGAGCCGTATTCAAGCACCAGACTTATCGCGGAAGCGAATAGAGAGGTAGCAATCTCTTCAGATCCAGTGCAGGAGCTGCGTCTAAGTGTCCAATGCACGCTTACTCTGCTTGCGTACAGTCCGTTCGTGTTGTTGACATTCAGATCACAGTGCGAAAGTGCGCCTAGATCCTTTACGGAACTTGTGGGATACAGCGGGTGGCCGGTCAGGGTGTGTGCACGTGCACTATCACTCCTCCCTAGGCCCACATTGGAGGACTTGGTCGGATTGACAGGTAGATCAGCTTCTACAGACCACTGGGATGGGAGGTTGATCGTCCGCTGTATGACGTAAAAGTCGTCGGGTGAATCAATAATTCTCCAAATTTGCAAGTTTTCTGAAAACAGTGCACATGGCAACCGAGGAAGCTGAAGCATTTCGTTGCTCTGGATCAGAAATACAATGAGCCCCATACTGTTGCTTCGGGGACACCACTAGTGGACGGGTATCATTCTGTTAGGTGGTCATCCACCTGAACCGTCATCTTCTCCCAGTAAGGAGGTCACTGATCCATTTGTGCATTGCGCCACCAACACCACACATCCTCATCTTGTGGACCGGAACCTCACGGTTTAATTTATTAGAAGCTTTGCTGAAAGCAATGTAGATAACCTCCACTGACTTCCCCCAGCACAACGCTTGCAACCATTCCGGCGGCGTCAAAGCAGGTTGTAGATGCATGAGCGGCCCATCATGAAGACATGCTGTGCCGGCGTTAGGAAATCTTTCAACTCCAGCAGCTGTTGAAGACCCTTTATTACAATCTGCTCGAGCACCTTGGCAAAACAGAGATGAGACAAATCGGTCGGTAACTGTGCACTTTGCGTGGGTCACTGCCTTATGGAGTCGGCATCACTACGGAGCAGTTCTAGTTTCTGTGCAAAGTACCTTCGGACAGTGCTGTGTTGAACAGATCCGTCACAGCAGGCCAGATGATGGCCGATACGGACTCTAACATGCGCGGATATAGTCCATCGGTTTCGGCAGGCTTCGTGCTGTCATGACTGGGGAATTGACTGCGGACATCTACACTGCAATCTGGGTCGTCGATTTCAGTGGGTGTTGCACACGTCGAGCTCGCATTGGCGTATGCGTTCTTTAAATATGTAATTTAATTGCTCTGCCTCTTTGGACGCTTTTTTATTTTTGGAAATCATTGACTGCGTGTCTATGTTTGTTAATGTAGGTAAGTCTCTTCGGGACCTCTGAGGCTTCTTCCCGTAAGCAATGGTCCTTCTTGGGGCCGTTTTCACTATGGCTGGACATTCATTTTCCAACTGCAGACGCTTTCTCTCTTTTACGCGTTTGCATGGATTCCGCTTCATTTTTACGTTTCATAAGTTGCTGAAAATTCAGGCTATTGGAATTTATTCCACAATACCCTTGATTGTAGAGCCAATTAGCCATACTTCCTTTCTAACCAACATGGCTTCAGTGGTCCAGCATTCTTAGTCTTGAGGAGTAAGGAATGAGAGCGAGACCATCGCACGTCCTGTTTTATAACAAACCAACAGGTTTCAACTAATGAATCCTGCGGAAACGACCAGTCTACTTCACTGACGGCTCTGTTGTGTCCACTGAAGTTGGTCTTCCAAGAATTTTTGGAAGACTCCGGCGGACGCAGTAGGGCAGCAGCAACTGCAAGCTAGCTAAAACCATCGAGTGGTCACAAGCTGTCACGGGCTCCAGGACCTGAATTTCTTATACACGTTGCTCGCAACTCGTTAGTAGCTGGTCCAGACACGATGGATTGGAGGACGCTGTAAGGCGCGTCGGTTGGCGGACATGTTGTGCTGCCCAAGTTTCAAATACCATCTGCGTAAACTGCATCGATTTCGTAGTTCCCAAGGAGAAGTTGAACCTCAGGTTATCTTATTCGATGGAAGTTAATATCGCCCATAAGCAGGAATCGGGTCCGACTCATGTAGTTTCTTGCATGCGGCAGCCAAGCCAGGCTTCGACTTAGCGGGCTGCGATAAACCGCATCCATAAACCTTTCGCCTCCTCTCAGGCGGGTCGAGTACGATTGCTTGTCGCACAGGCCATCTTCGCTGCGGTAGGTGTGTACCAGTCTCCTGTACAGCGAAGACTAACTGTATACCAGCACTCCGCCTGGATCTTTTGATAGTCAGTCGCACCGGAAGCACGAGTATCTATTGATCTGACTTCCTGCGTAGTGATCTCAGTATTTAGCGAGGTTTTGGCCAGCCTTAGTGCGTCCGGAAGACGAGAGGTAACGAATTGAGGTACATCGTCACGTTTGTTCATTAAACTACGAGCAGCTTTGAAGGCTACGCCTAGGCCGCGGTTGGAACCGACAAACGCGCACCAAGCGTCATCGACCTGTTGCGCTGTGTTCGGCGGACCCGGGGAACTACCCAAAAGTTTACAATGTGGAGATTGGTTTCTCCCCTATCAGTCCCCTACTTCAACCCCACGATAGCGGACTACAATTCCTCTCTGTCGGATGGACCCAAATCGAGACGAAGATGAATCTTTATACCACGTAGACTACAGAGACGGGATAGTATCAGTCTAGGACGCTTTTCCTCATCAAAGGTGACTCAAAGAGGCCAGGACTTCCCCTCTTCTCTTTTTCTAAGACGGAAGAGTTGCTTTACCCGCAACCCCTGTTATTGCATATCGAGAAGCCTATCCATCAGGCTGTGCATAAAATCCACCTCGTGGTAACAACAAACCTGAGAACTAGCACGTGTCGACTCAGGTGTGTATAATGCCATGAGATTACAACGCCGCTGATTGCTGGCAGTTGTCTTCTCTTTACTTCGCTGCATTCTCCATTGGCCTTCATCGCCTGTGCTATCGCACACCGGTATGTTAGTGTCCGTAGGATGCAACACAGGAACGCCTGCTAAGGCCGCACTAACAGAGGGACATCACTCTAAAGAGCCTGCAGCGGATGGTCAGGTGGGCTCATTCGAATATAGTTGTGGCTGAGTTTCCGCTAGCTTGGATTAAACCGCGGAGATCCTCTCTATGGAACGTTTCACCCGTTTTGTAGTCTCGCGTAGCTTTTCGGCTGTCTGTGACTGCAACATTCCTTGGCATTTCGTGCACAATATTTGGACGAAGTCATGTTAACTTTCAGGCAACAGTTTGTGATGATCTAAAGCCAAAGCAATACACGAACTATGGAAATACACACGACACATAAGGTATGCGACAGAAATGGATCTCTGCCCAACGGTTTGCAACAAGTGTCACAAGGAGTCAGCTTCGTCGTTACGGATAGCTTAACAGATTTGACGGTAAAGTGCAAAGATTAAACGATGTGAGTGATGTTTGTTACCGTCCCCCACAGGTGACTGGTTTCGGCCACAGAGTGGCAATAGTCGACTGGATAAGTTGAAAACCGGTGGCTGTGCCTAAGGCAAAGTTTCCAGCTTTTCTGTTAGTAGAGAGGCGACAATGAAACGCCTGACTAGAACACATACGGAGACTACGGTGCTCATCAGTATAAGACACCGACGAGTAATCAGCTGTTAACATCTTATTTTAAAACCAAATATCTGGCTCCCATGTACAAAGCTATTAACAGCTCTAAAGAATAACAGTGTTAGAGAATAAAATAGAGTCAAATGTCACATTTTGTGTTTTGTGACAGTTTCTCAACGTTAGCACCTCTTCCTGCTTACCAACACAAAACGTACCAGAGTAATTTGTTGTCTCTTTGACAACACTAGGCTAAGCCAACGCCTAGGCACTTTATGACAAATACTACGCTTTTCTTATCGTATGTGAGTAGGGCCTTCGTTTCCGTTACAACGTGTTAGCTAAGGATTATGCTAATATGCTGTTGAACTGCGGTTATCGTAATCAACCTGAGTCCTCCATGGCGCAGCTGCATAAGCTGCGGGCTAGTTGGCAGGAGCCACTAGCAGTCATGGGTTCGATCCTCCGCAGAGGACCGAAGGATGCGCACCACTGATGAGACCCAATAGGGCGAAACGGCCGTCTGGTGCTTTTCCGGATAGCTAGTCGACATATCTGAATTGTCGGCTGATTGCGACGAACAAAAATACTCACCGAAATCCTTCCACTCATAAGTAACCTGAGTCCTATTCGTATACTCTGTTCGTGGGACATAATGAATAAGAAACTGTTCTTTCCCTTCGAAATAGAGCGCTGTAAGGAGTGTAGAATATAAGACAAAACATCTTTACGCTTACATCCAGTTAGACAGTCATTGGGATACTGTTGTGTGTGCTTCAGAATACATTAAAAATAAGTCCTCACTCGACATACCTTAGAATAGGAAAAATCAGCATGACAAGTAGGGGACTCGCAACAAAGCCTGCAACTTTATTTCTGCAAACATAAGTTTGTATCATTAGCATTTTCAGGTATTGCGCCTATCAGATTTCTTCATCAATATATGCTGTGAAACTCCTCCGAAATCTGGCTAGTGAAAAGACGAAATCCACTTCTAGGGGTTACGGAGATGTTTGAACGTGATTACGATAGCGATGTATATAAGACTATCAGGCAATGAAGGATCTCGGTTTTGTGCTTTCAATCATTACACTTCACGACGCGATTCGGCCATTTTGGGACTCATACGGTGGAGCTAGTTTGAGCTGGGAGTGAAACACGGCACATAGTGGTTGGGGTCTACCGCCATGATTAGTAGGCCGTTGTGCTCCGAAAGTAGCACTTGACAATTACAATATAAGCTGCATGATGACTGTACTTTAGTTCGTGAAACCTCTTGCTTCACTCTTTGTAATCACACCAGTTTCCTGCTCCTTCTTTCACTTCCCAGAGCCATTTTATCAACCGGTGTCGGATGTTTGTCAGGGAGCTTGTGCTTGCTGACAATATCAATGTTTTCTTTCTTACACGCCCACTGTATAATCTATGAATGGGATCCTGATAAAGACCGTATCAGAGCGCAGCAGGAACAGCAAGCGTGGGAACTCACACCAGAAGTAAGTCACTCATCGCATTTCCACACTGTTAACCAGGATTAGCTATATACATTATATATTATTGCGCACTCGATTGACAAAGCCCGGTACGTGCCACCATCGCCAAGCAAATAATTCGCGAGTACACCTACGAACTGCAATGTAGCCACAAATGGAAGTGTAAAGGTAACGTGAATTCAGCTACTGAACAAGTTTAACAACTGAACGCCCTAAATTCCATGGAATCTGATCGATATGAAATCCCTAAATTTAGCACTTTCTGTGTATCATTACGGTGGCATTGAACAAAGGTTAAGCGTACCGTTCGTTCATTAAAAGATAAGATTAATATCTCCAGATTTTATGACATGTGTGTGTTGAAATGTGCTGTAGTGATTTAGCAAATGAAGCTTGCACGATCATATGCATATCGGGTATTGGGAGCTGTACTAACCCAAATGAGCTTAAGAACTCCGAAGATAAAGTAACAGAGCTTATACTGTCCAAATATTTAGACTGTTTGAATAAGCTACCAACCTATAAGGCTTTGTTACCAGTGTGAAAAGGTAGGACACGTAAGCTATACACCGATTAGTTGGCTACAGCTGAAGCGATGCGGAAGTAGTGCTGATTTATCTGCTCACCGCAAGTTTCACATGTGTCCCTCTGCGTTGGTGACTAAACCTTCAACCACTAAAACACGAGGGATGGTAACTTTCAGCTGACATCAGTGGGTGTGCAGTGCTGGTTCTGGCGTGACACTACCGCCTACGCTCTGTGATTCAAATGTGGTAATATTGGTGCTTTCAGTTAGCACTAAAATACCCTTTGTTATTTTAGATGTCTGAACGCATGCGTAACTGAGTTACGGAAGTGATCGATCGGTATTAAGCGGAACAATTGTTATCAGTGAACTTACCAGGGCTGGTGTGACCGTTGCATTGAAAATACTGCAAATGATATATAACAAACATTCGATTCCTCATGGGCCGCGCGGGCCCAATTTGGCGTTTTGGAGTCACGGGAAATAAATTGTTGTCGTGCTAGTCGTACGCAACAAATAATTGGTCATACATATTGATATACGCAACTATATATATATATATATATATCGTTAAGTGCTTGCTTATCCTAGCTCAGAAATGCGACCGGTTAACCACAGAAGCAGAGCAGAGGATAAACGATAAGATAAGTTTAAGGGAAGCGAGTATGCATCACAGAAGCGTAACGGCTTCTAAGCAACGGAATGCTGAACAATCCGCTTCACCTGAAACGCAATCAGCCACGTCTCCACCTACGTCGTCTTCTCCAACTTTGATAGGACGCCGGACGAAAACTCACCTTGCCTACGAGAGTCAAACAATACTCACGGCAACGAAAATCAGATACCACACAAAACGTCTGGTTAAGCAAATTCCACTAGACCTGACGTCTAGCGTTAACAACGGTGAAGCAGCCGAACACCAACCCTAGGTACCTGTAGCTCAAATATCCATTGTCGAGACTAAGCCTCCCAGAACATCAGTTACCTATGCAGAGATTGCTGCAAAGGTCCACCGATAGGCTGCCGTTTCGGCCTCTTCCATTGTAAACACCGTTAACGCGAATAGAGGGACCAACAGCAAACAATCAACACCTGTCAGCTGTTCAGGAAAAACGAGTAGCGTACCTTGTATATCAACGAAAAAGGGATCCAACAACAGTGCCCAGACTGTTGTATGCTCAAATGTCCCTGAATCTACCGCCATCACATTGCGGGATAAGTTATCAGACGACCAAGACCAATGGAACTCATTGTGCATGCAGATGAGTATCAAAGCCAAACCCATTAACTTATTACGAATTACTCGTCATCCGAACTCGCCACACAATGGAGAACCCAGACTTATTAGAGTAACACTAGAATCCTCTCCGCAGGCGCGCTAAAACACGGATCCTGATGTCCCTTGGAGCGTGCGACAATCCAAAAGAAACACCGAAGAGGGGCACAACAAGCAAGACCGCATAAACGCAATCTTTTTACATGTCATGCCAGAACATCCTTCTAACGATGTTCAAGAGACCGGAAAGCACGGTTTGGAACAGTGGCGGTTCATTGGTGAAACACGTTTTTTGGATAATATTGTGGCACTATCGCTCACCAGGATACCTCTCTCACCAATTTATAGAGGATGCGGCCCTAGAATGCTAAAAATTGTGGTCCAGTCAGAGCAACAAGCAAAGGATGTTTTGGATCGATGACGGAGAAATCGGAAACATCTTCCTGCTGAACTTCGGTTAAAGGTTGCAAACGCTTTGCATAGCTCAAATATTAAAGCAACTAAAGCAGCAAGCATAACGACGAATGTACAGAAGCGTAATTTCACTGCTGCTTTAATTGACTCTGACGTAGGTCTAAATGAAGGTTGGGACGCACCTTGGCCGAATCAAGTTGCAAACGAGGTATCATTATCCCATCAAAAAACGAGTAACTGCCGAGCTCCCATCGGTCGGCGATCTCCCACACGTGGCCCCTTTACCATTCTGTGGGCTCCTAGAGACTGAGCAACTGGCCTGCTTGTATATAAATGCTCAAGGTCTTTCTAACAAATTGGCCGAACTGAAAGATCTCCAAGCTTCCGGGTCATATGATGTCATTGGTATCTCCGAGAGGTGGCTGCATATGGGAATGACGGACGCTGAAGTTTCCCTACCGGGCATGTCGCTGATCCGGAAAGACAGGCTCACAAAAGGAGGAGGGGTAATCCTGTATTACCGAAACGACTTACAGTGCGAAGCCGTGGAGGATTCAGACTCGCAGTTCCCCGACTCTCTTTGGTGCCGGTTGCAGTTACAAGGCAGGGACGCTTGCCTTATTGTCTTGGTGTACCGCGCCCCTAACTCAACACCCGAAACCGACTACCACCTAGCGGCTGCTTTAAGGTGCAGTTCACAACAAAAGTACGCTGACATTCATGTCATGCGTGATTTCAACGTATATTGTTTAGAAACTCCCACCACGATCGGAGAACAATTCAAAGCCGAGCTACAAAATCTAGTAACTACTGTTCCTCTTTACAATCACATCACTTTGCCCACTCGGTTCAGAACAGATAACAGGCCATCTGTGCTGGATCTTGTGCTTACCAACTAGGAGCATATGATTGATGCGTTGGTTTTAGACTGCCCGTTGGGTCGCAATGATCATGCCGTGATCAGTTGCAACTTCGTCTGCTATGCAGAATGTCTGAATAAAACCGATGAGACGGTGCGAACCATCACAATCTACGATCGATTAGCCCGGCTCATCAGAGCCACAACTTGGTCGTTCCTCGAAAAACAACCCCTGGAAGTCGCCTGGCTCGAGTTCGTCAACACATTCAGTCAGCTGACTGCACAGGCTTCAGAGATAAAAGACTGCTATAAGTGTACATCAGTTTCTTACGTTAGGAGCAGAACTCGAAAACGGATGACAGTACGCAACGCAGCATGGCGAGTGTACAGAGAAGCTTCAGCACAGGAAACTTGGGACAACTACGTAGCCCAACGTAACCACTGCACTCAACTGTTAAGAGAAGACAAATCCGCCTATCAGCAGAACATCGCAAAAACCTTCAGTGCTAACTACAAATGGCTGTACAAGCACGTTAATAGCCTACGAAATGTGAGACAAGGATTTCCGCCACTCAAGAATGCTGATGGCCCAACAAGAACGGCTATGGAAGCTGCAAACGCGCTGCAGATGCAATACGCCCCCACGTTTCAAAGGGTCTTGCCACCAAGCGATCTATTAAGATTTGTCTTATCCTTACCAGGACTAACCCACATCACTTTTACCGCAGAGGCTGTATTGCAAAAGCTGACGTCTCTACGCAAACACAGCTCGCCGAGTGTCGACACCATTCGTCCAGAGGCATTGGGAGCAGCAGCAAGTCAATTGACAGGACTTCAGCTCAGTTTTTCCAGCGCTGCTTAGACCAGAACCAAGTTCCCACCATGTGGAAGCTTGGAATAATAACCCCGATTCACAAAGGTGGAAGCATAACTGAGCCCTCCAACTACCACCCAGTATCACTTCTTCCTATACCCTCCAAGGTCATGGAATCCATAGTTGCCGATGCACTGGTGTGCTATCTGGAAAACTGCAACAGCAGCACTCCTGAACAGCACGGTTTACGTCGACAGCGGTCATGTTCAACGAATTTACTAATCGCATGCAGTAGCTGAACCGAGGCAGCTGACGCTGCAGGTGTTGATATGATCTACCTGGATTTTCCCAAGGCTTTCGATCGTCTAGACCATCGGATACTACTATCCAAGCTGCATCATTACGGGATCGGAGACCCTCTTTTAAGCTGGATCGCCAACGTTGTACTTCAACAGCAATTAGTGGTCAGAGTTCGGAGCTCTTTATCGGACCCCATACAAGTCGAGTGTGGTGTGCCGCAAGGCTCAGTTCTAGGTCCGCGTTTGTTTTTGGTGTTTATTAATGACCTTGCACAGGGAGTCGCTTCAAACCTCTTAATGTTTGCCGACGATATCAAGACCTGGCGCAGGATCCAGGCGAAGGCTGTTCAACATGTGCTTCAGGGTGATCTAGATACGGTGTATCAATGGTTGACCCAAAACTTATTACATTTCAACGTCAGTAAATGCGAGGTGCTTTCCATCCGTCGTCAGGGCAGCTACTTATACGGTCTCGGAACGAATATACTACAAAAATCAACTCTCGAACGTGACATGGGTGTTCTGGTTCAAGGTGACTTGGGTTGCTCCAAGCAATCCGAAAAGACCTCGAAGACCGGGAACCAACAAGTCGGGCTGTTGCGACGTGCGTTTGGACAAATAAACAGCTGCATATTTCGACAAATGCTCAGTGCGTATGTTCGCCCCCTTGTCGAATAGGCAATTCAAGCCTGGCATCCATGGATGAAACATGATCTTAATGCACTGGAGCAGCCACAACGCCGAGCGTCTAAGAACGTAACTGGAAGGCGCAATCTTTCCTACCAGAAGAGGCTGCAACGAATGTGGGTGTTCAGTGGAAGCTATCGCAGACTACGAGACGACCTGATTATGGCATACTTGATTCTGCGAGACCCACACCATGTGTGCCGCCCTTTACTGCAACTCAGCATTAATACAAACCTGAGGGGCCACTCATTAAAACTCGCAGAACAATACAGTCGTCTGCAGCGCCGCAGAAATTTCTTTTCCATTTGTGTCTGTCACCCGTGGAATACTATCCCAGAATTGGTCGTCTCTGAAACGACACTAACAGTATTTAAAAGACGGTTGGACGATGCACTCATCCACTTACATTTTGTTACTTAACACTACGTCTCCATCCTACACCTGGAGTATACCATGGAATTATTCGCTGTTAACTGTGGGTGTTGTGAATTTAAGAGGATCGCAGGACAACAGCGGAGCAAACGATAAGTCCTTATTTTCATATTTAAATTATTAACTATTGTACTATCCTTATCATCATTATTGTTATGTAGGTATCCCCGCCAACTATCCAACATGACTTGCAAAGCAACACTTCTTAACCCGTATAAATGCATTGTTCATATATATATATATATATATATATATATATATATATACCGCATATTTGACACACCAGCCTTGCAATATCACACGGCCAACACGGTAGCACAGTAGGTTGATCTATCGGGATTTCACGCGTGGCGTTAACACGATCTCCAAGTGAGAAAATGTCAAACTGGAGCTGCGGGTTTTAATGTAAGGTCTTTGCTTTTACATGCACATCCGTAGAACTTGCTCACTAGCATTTTCGTAAGCAGCTTTCCTTAGATTGGGTACTGTTATCAAAAGTCCTACCCACCAGTCTCATCCTGTTTTGTATTCATGCTTTCCGCACCATTCCATCGAATCAAGCAGCTAGAGAATTTCTCACAGAACATAAAGAGCACTTCATACATGCTATTAGCGGCATTCCTTGAAATGATCTATTGAGCACTTGTTGTTTGGCTTTTGTATGCAATACCCCAACAGCAGTCGTTTGAGGGCGGCTTCGAATTCACATCGTATTTTTAGTATGATAGCAGCAAAGCCGTACTCATTACTAAACCACTGTGTGTATCCGTCTACTATTCTAATACAGCATTCCATGGTATACCACGTAGATAATGGCCCAATCCACAAATATGTACACGTCGACAGCCACCAAAAGAGTTGATGCACCCTAGCAGTTCATATAGTGTATTCAAATCGGCTGACTGCTACACCTGCGAGTGATAATCAGTGCTGAGATCTTCAATTCAAGGAACTCCCAGAGGAGCAACTAAATGATACAATGCGTATGCGAAGCTCATCAGCTGGGTGTTCTTTCTCGATTAGTTGAGGAATGATTAGTTGTGGAGGGAGACACGAAGTTTCATACATGTAAACGAGATAATTATATTTCCCAAATAATGTCGTATGAGAGTCCTTGGCGATAGTGGATAAAAGCAATGAAACACTAGTTCTTGTGGTACTTAAATACCCATAACACTAACATGCGCTGTTTAAAATACCAAGATCGCTACCACAAATTAAGCGTGTGCATTGCGTTTATATAAGAACTACCGATCCATTCGTCTCATCGCGGTCTCCTAAACAGTTCCTTAGCTTAATCCTCAAGATGTGTATCTTGTAGAAATAACTATCCAAGTATTTGACTTAAAAGAACCTGCAGATTGTAGACCGCAATATAATTGCGATAACCGAGCAACTATTCAATATCAAATGTTTGGCCTCTTTGATACCATACCTATATAAACGAGTGAGTAATAGCCTCCGCCAAAAGAAGCTTGAAAGCTGGTGTACTGGCCTTTATGGTGAAGCTTATTTTCGAAAGGTTATGGGGTATTTATGCTGAACAAGAAGCTTTTAACCCGTAGTGTATATAACTCGCTCAGTGGACAACTGGTCTATGTGTGTGTGTCTAGATTTATTTGTGGCTCTCTCCACTAAAGTCACTGATTTGGCTGTAAAAGTTAAGCACACTATATGCAAGACAGAACCTAGATGAATGAGACATTCAGATACGGTACATGCGCGCAATCTGGTCACGAATTAAATACTCCAGATATGCAGCGTAGTTTGATTTCTTTTTGTGTGCACTATGAGGTCGCCAGTTTACAGTGGTTGCTTTCAGGGAATATTAGTTAATCAGTAATGCGTTTATTCGTACACCGTTCGACTGACCTGCGATGAATTCTCTATTTCCCTCTTATTCAGGGGCAAAGACTGTCAGTGTGGAACGAGATGTCAGTGAACAACTCTGAAAGAGAATGTGCCGACGGTGCTTTGGAGACGACGGAAGCCAAGGAAGGAGCACAATGATCACATTTTAGTTCGTAATAACACCATTTTGTACATAGCTGACGAAGTTTGCTCAGTGGTATTAATATGGAAACGTCATTACTCTTGTATCCAGATATTTGCGTGGATCCATGAAAGATATTCCTTCAACCCCATCCCGGCTAAGATCGGGGACACAATTCTTTATAATCAATCACTTTCTAGTTTCTTTTCTGACCATTGTCTATTTCAGAACGACATCAAATACACTCCAACAATCGCGACTGCTTTCTTAACTAAAACTAATATACAATTTCGAATTCTTAATCGTTGGGTCGCCGGATGACTTCTTCGGCTCAGTGAGTGTACTAGGGCACTCCAGTGTTGCCCTGGCAAAGAAAAAGGCTGCAGCTTAACCAACCTGAAAGTGCATATGTAGTTGTTAAAAGGTAAGCTGGGGTCAGGGTTTTTAAATTGCAATGCAGCTTGAGATTGAGAAAGGTGTGTCTGTCTTAACCATGTCCGACCATTTGATTAATCAATCTCCGGCGGTATTGCACATAAAAGAAGGAGTTCAATACGAATAATTTCAGGCCAAATGATTAATTAATCTCATCGTCCGGAAGTAACGGAGAAAACAACAGTTCAGCGATGTGGCGAGGTTGGAAGTCTCTTTTAACACACGTTTATGTGCAGCACCCAGCGACAAAACAATATGAACAAAAACTCGCCCCTTTTAGTGTAATGCTGTGCGCATTTTCACCATCTAGAAGTGAAGACAACAAAGATTTTCCGAAGATCAACACTTTTGGGCTTACAAATTTATGTTTCAGCCGACCCGTGCACTTTTTGTAGTGCGTGGGCTGTTAACTGTACAAGTGAATTTTGTGGATCCAGTTGTCTATATATTTAAGTTGGCCACCTGCTCGGTATATCACTGACCGAAACTTTGTTTGTATGTGCCACTTGGATGATAAAGGCGCCCGTGCAATTCGATCATTACCCCACAAAATCCAGGAAAGGTCACTGAATTTCTATCAACCATTGCATTTATTACCTATTGCCTCTGCTGCTACTACAGGCGCCATGCGCAATCAACTCCCTACAATCGGATCCTCTGCGTTAGTGCGTCACTGCCACTTGGGATGTTTGACTGTCAGGTTGATTTGTTTTCCAGATAAACAAATGCAGCCCTCCGCTAGGTTGATGGGAAACGAGAGTGAATGAAGATCTGAAGCTTCGGTTGCTCTTTTCGTGTGTATGCTTCGGTGTTGCAAATTTCTTTTCCTTGCCTTTATAACATCGTGTATGCGGGGAGGCACTACTGAAATTTCCAGAGAACCACAAGCTGGTGCGCATTACTGCCTTGCAGCTGATTTTGTGCAGACAGTGATGTTGGAATATTTTATTTTATCAGTTGTATGGACAGACTCTAAAAAACCCATTTCCCATTGCTATAGATTCCATTAGTAATGTACCAAAAGCATAAAAATAACTTGATGTGCTTTAGTCTGAGAAGGTAACCGGTTAATTGGTTTGGATACCGACACATTGGTATTTGTACAAACGTAGTGTGTCGCTCCACTAATGTTAGTACTAAATCAGCAGGCTCGATTGTCATTATCCGGAACAAAATAACCAGCGCAATTCGATTGCATGTGTTCGCATGCTTCCACAAGCCACTGACAAACCGAGGTGACGTTTTTGACCGAGGTCAACTGAGGTAGGGAATTTGTTTTACGCACCCAGATAGGACAAACGCGCAGCTGTCGCGAACATACAGCTATCGTAGTAAAAAGGTTAGCACAGGCTAAGGTCAATTAAAGACATGCTAAACATTATTGTTAGTTGCATAACAAATTAATTTTACTATTTTACTGTTGAGGGCAAAAGTGCGAGTCCGGTAGCAAATACTTTTACTAAACGACTGTCGACTAACTGTAGACTCTGGTTTCGTCACATCCTATTTTTATTTAAGGTAGAGTTGAAAAATCATGAGTGAGCAACAGATCCAATGCAGTATAACACACGCAGACTGACCGAAGCCTCAGACATGGAGAGGCGGAGAATAGCCTCAAACAGAAACTACCTTACAAACTGGCTTTGATGAACACTTTGTTTGCTTGAAGCAATCACGATAAATCCTGATTTATTGTGATATCTACATAATTCACTCCTGTTGGTGAGTGCGAACATTTGCCACCGTTAGATAACTGACAGATTTCTGTAGAAGTTACGGGTACCGGGTTCCCTTAATTTAAAAGTGGATTGTCGTATTTCAGTGTTTACAGTAAAGGATATGTAGGTTTGGCTAGACACATGTATTTTCTGATATAATAGGAAATCAGCTGATTAGGCTGTAGTCAAATGAGTATCATGTAGGATCATCTCATCTGAGTACTTCAGCATGTTTGATTCTCAATGTCCAGAATAAAGCCTGATCAAGTGGGATGTAGATCAAAGATACCATCGCAATGAGGCTGGACCTCACCATGGTGCGATGGTTTGTGTGCCTCAGTGATCCATTGAGCTATAATGGGTGTTGCATTTTTTCACCTTCAGAGCCACTCATACCAGATTGATCAATGGTTAGAGGCCAGACAAACTCAGCCTCCTGGTCCTCCAGGTTGGGGGTTGGAATGAGGGTGGCTCCTTATACTTTAAAACGGACTCCTTGTAGCCCAATGTCAAACCCGCTGCCATGCGGACAGATATTGAACCAAAGGCTTTGGTTGAGAACCCTAATCGTTCTCCTGTCTAGGCCTGGGCAACTTGACAGTATCCTGCCTACACAATACTATGAATCGCACTTCAAACAAATTTCTGATGCTCTGGCCACCGCAAAGGATAATCAACGGTGCCCTATCTGCTGCATCGAGCAGGGTGGATAGGGGTTTGGATACTACGCTCAAGCCTTCCCGTCTTCTTATTCCCATTCTTACGCTTTTCTCCCTTATCGTCTAGTTCCAACTTCATTTTTATCTCCCCTGTTTTCAAACCCCAATTCTCGGCCCTCCCCCACCTTGCTTCAATAGTCGCTTGTCTTTTAGTTTCTACTCACATGTGAACGCGGGGTATCATTCCTTCCCTGTCAACAAGCTCATGTACAAACAAGCGGTCAAGCCCAGTTCATCGGCTTCCATTTGAAACCCTCCATCCTCCTTCAGATTGGCATGCCTCAATGTTAGCACAAAAGCTTCAGATCGGTCAACAGACAGCACTTGCCCGAACATTAGAGACCCTCTCGATCGATATCAGCTGCTTATCGGAGACCCGCCTGCAAGACTCTAGCTCTGTGCTCACTTTGCGATCCCCTTCAGATGCCACTAGCAAGACTTTCTCTTTGCGCCTATCCGGTGACGATGCAGCTTCGAGTACCGGTCAAGATGGTGTTGGTATTGCCCTGAGTCCTCGGGCGGAAGCTGCTCTGGTTGATTGGATTCCAATCAGTAGCCGGATGTGTGCGGTCCGATTGGCTGGCTCGTTCAAAACTTCGAAGTCGCGCGGGACTAACAGGTGTCTAATCGTTATCACTGCCTATGCACCGACAAACTGTAGCGATGACTCGGTAAAAGACGACTTCTATGGTCAACTGAACGTGCTCCTAAGCCACAGAAGAAGCTCGGACACTGTAGTGCTGGCCGGGGATCTGAACGCTCAAGTTGGAATATTATCCACTGATGAGCTGCATCTGGGCGGTTAACATGGTGTAGGCTCCCGTAATGATAACGGTGAGCGGTTACTTCATTTATGTGAGGATGCTCGCTTATTTCTTGCGAGCACCACTTTTTGACACAGCACCCACCGGAGGGTGACTTCGCGCCCACCAGCCTCGAACCAGCCTTGGACGCAAATCGATCACATTGCAATCAGTTACTGCTGGAGAGGCTGCACCCAGAACTGGCGCTCAACTTGAAGCACAAGTGTGGACACCGATCATGCACTTGTATGTGATGACATGCGGATGCGCTTTGGCGGTTGCCCAAGGCGACGTTGTGAGCGCATTGACACCAGCCAACTGGCGAAGCCAGCTGTTCTGAATGCCTATCAAAGTACGCTGTCATGTGAGTTGGATAAACGCTCACTTGATGCAGTTGAAGGTCACTGGTCTCATATTCACCAGACCTAACTTGCAGCAGGAAAATCCTCATGTGGTATGTCTAATCGCCAACATGAACATTTGGTCGCTTCACAGTCTCTGGAACTTATAGATGCTGGCCGGCATATTCCGGCTGGAAGCTAATACAATGAAACTCGCAAAGAGCTCCGGGCAAAACTCTGTGCTAGCTTGAAGAGAGACCGCGAATCCTGGTGGTATCATCCTGCAACAGAGGTGGAAGTGGTCGCTACCCTTGGTAACCATCGTAAGTTATTCCGTCTGATACGAGAAACGGGCAGTAGGAGACCTGGGGTTAGTGAAACTATACGTGACGAGAGTGGACAGCCTATCCCCAATTTGTCAAAACGCTTGGAGCGTTGGGCTGAGCATTTGAAAGGCTATTTAATCGGCCGGAATGGTTAGATTTCTTGCTGACCAATGATGGCCGCGCTCCGTGGGCTGCCCTATTGGATCCACACTCTAGCTCGGAAGTCGAACGTGAGATCGGACTATTGAAGTTAAATAAAACCGCGGGACCAGATGATCTTCCTCCAGCTCTCTTTAAATTCGGGGACCTGATTTTGTGGATGAATAACACGAATTACTAGTTAAACTGTGGGTGCAGGAAACTGTCCCGACCGACTGGAGCCGCTCTGTCATTGTCCTAATTTTCAAGGGAGGCACAAGATAGGAATGCGGCAGCCATAGAGGAATCAGTCTGATTTCCATCGCCTCCAAATTGCTTGTCTCTGTCATCCTTCACAGACTGACTGGCACGCGGGAAAGCCAGATTTGTGAAGAGCAAGCCGGGTTTCGTCGAGGTCGTGGCTGCATTGACCACATCTTTACCTTGCGTCAGTTGTTGGAGCACCGTCACATATATTGGCGGCCCACCGTTGTCGTGTTCCTTGATATCAAAAATGCTGTGATGGGAGTATACACTCCAACGAACGGGCGGTGCCAGCGCAGCAAGAAAGCCGTTAGGCTGCCGCAAGGAAAGGCGGCAGCTAATTGGACGTTCACACGTTTCTCGCATGCACGCTGATTGGCCAACAGTTGGACGCATTGGAGTGAGTTTGTTTGACTGAATCAAAGGAAAAATGTCATGCATTCACAAAGGTCGTTAATTATGGATCCAACTAGCTGTATATACCGATATGTTTCACTCGCCCTCTGCCTGCGTTTTCGCCTGGTTCTTTCGTGT